GGGAAAGAGCCCCACAGCGACTTGGGACTGAGTGCGAATGCCTTTCACCGAGCATCTCCCGAGTAACATGCACTCTGCTCCCAGCTACTGCCCCCCTTCCATCCCAACCACGTCTCACACTGGAGTCTGTAGGGCAAGAGGGGAGGTATTTGATAGGCAGGGCAGATTGGCATCTTAAACTAACCAAAAGGAGATATATATAGCACAAGCTTTTCTGGACTGAAGCTCACTTCATCAGTTGCTGTGGAAGGACATGCATATGGTGAATGGTGTATAATCATTCTGGTGTCACATCTGACCCTCAAAAAACAAATGCATCGTGGTCTCTCCTGTCCCACACGCCAAAATGTAAATGCACCAGTGCTTTTTACCTTGGACATCCCTGCTTCCCTCCCCCGCAGCATACCAAGGGTTAAGCCCTTCACGTCTATACTCATCAGCATCAAGCAATTACCCAGATACCCAGCACAGAAGACAAGCTGTCTAGGCATTTCTGAAGCGCTCAATCACCATTATGCCTCCCAGAAGGTCTACTATACAAGCAATATTAGAAGCATGATAGAAACATGTTGCTTGTGTCTCCCTGGGGCACCTGGGGATGGAAAGCTGTCTGAGTCTCAAAAGATACCAAAAGGATTGGTTTGAAATAATTACTGTACAAGAGCAAATGGAGGTGTCAGACCTACAGCATTATAGGTCTGATCACTCTACATTTCTGCGCTTTCTAAGATACACTCAGCTTGTTAGGAAATGGGGACACCCCCCGGAGCAAGACTAGACCCAGCAATCTTGGTGTGGAGCAGAGATGCACATTTAGGTGGTAACAGCAAAGTGTCAGGTTAAATATCCTCTTACCTGGTTGGGCTTGTGGGCCAACGCCTCTCAGGCTGGCAGGTGCTTCCACGTGCTGACGAAAGCCGTGGGTATGAGCGAGTAAGGCACGGTTGTTATACAGTTCCACGTGTCTGAGGTAGGGTCGTAACAGTCCAGTGTTTTGCACCGTTGAGTCCCAAAGTATCCTCCCACCACATACAGTTTGTTCCCCGAGGCTAATGCGTGGCATGACATGCGTTTGGCAGTCATGTCCCCAACGCGAGTCCACTGGTCTGTCTCGCAGTCGAAGCGGTAGGCGGATGCTGCTGTGTATTCACTGTCACCTCCCATGATGAAAATCTGGCTGCCCAGGACAGCAGCTGCTGTGTAGCGCCAGGGCTGGGGGCACTCTGCTTTGATCGTCCACCGGTTCTCAGCAGGGTCGTAGCACTGCACCTTGGAGACCATGTCCCGGTGAATGCTAGTCCCGCCAAAGACAAAAAGCTTGAGCCGGGCACTCACCACGGCAGCATTGCTGACTCCGTCCCTCAACGGGGCCACCATGGTCCATTTGTTGGCTGTGGGATCGTACTTCTCCACCTGCTTCAAGGAGACAGAGGGAGAGGCAGGGAAGACACCAGCCACTGCGGTATGGCCACCGACCACATATAGGCAGTTTTCCAGTTCAGCTGAGCCATGCCCAAACCGAGCTATCAGCATGGGGGCAGCTTTGGACCATTCCTCGTGCACGGTATCAAACACCCAGACATCTTTTGAGACCCCGTTCTCAGATCCCCTCCCGCCAGTGATGTACACTTTGCAGCCAATGGCACAGGCACTAAACTCTTTCCTTGGGCTTGGCAGGTCTGCTTTGGGAATAATCTCCTTGGCTTTGCGATCTACCTGATATATCTTGTCACACATAAAGGTCTGGCCACCCAGGATCAACAAGGTATGCCCAGCTTTGCGAGGCCGGGCGCAGAGACTGGTGACCACCCCATCATTCTGCAGGATCTTCTTCTTGCAGCGAATAGCCTCGTCCAAGATGACCTTGTTACTCTCATCGGCCATGATCAAGTTCTCACAAGCCATGGCTTCCTTGAGGCACTCTGAAGGCAGTAAGGCTAGACGCATGTTTCTCAGCAGCTCTGGGAGGTGAACCCTCCGTTCATCCAAATCGTACTTCACCCACTGGAGGACAGCCTTGAAAACCTTCTCCTCATCCTCAATCTCCAGCTCGTCGCTTGAGATGAGGTCCAGCAGCGTGTCCTTGGAGAGGTTGTTGAAGTCCTCACTCTTGTGCACGGTTTCAAAGTTGACCAGGCACATTCTCCAGGACAGCTCGTAGAGCCGCCGGCACTGGTGAGCATCCGAGAGCAGCATCATGCCCAGGCAGTTGGAGGGGTGGAGGTTCTTCTCGAGGAACTCGGCCGCCGCATCTCGGACATCGTGGAACTGAAGCATGTCGCTGGCCTCCAGCAGGGACTCTGCGTTCTCCTCATTGATGATGATGCGAGAGGAGTATGCAAAGTCCAGCAGAAGCTCCAGCACCTCCGGGTGGAGGCTGTCATGGAAATTCACCTCATCATCCAGGCTTTCCCGGAGACCATTGCTGAACATGGCCTCAAAGTATCTGCTGGAGGCAGCCAGGATGGCCCGATGGCACGGGAAGGATCTGTTCCCGGCCCAGAGGGTGACATCAGTGAACATGCAGTGTTTCCGGAGAGTGTTGAGGTGGGACAATACGCAGTCCGGGTGGGAAGCTTTGTGGAAAAGTAAGATATTCATGGAGCCGGTGCTAGTCCGGGATTTACGGTTCTCGTGGACGCTGACTGACATGATGACAGAGGTATCGTCTACAGAGAAACAGAGAAAATAAAGTGTAATGTCAGGGGACTACTGATGAGAGACAGCAATAGTGAGAATAGTGCAGACATCTTTTGAACCAAATTCCCCCCCTTCCCACCGATCTGTTAATGGATCTCAAACCATGCCCAGTGGCCCAGCATGGGCCCTTCCCAGCTCTGCTCATGCTCCGCAGTCTGGATCTGCACGGCTTTTTACCGCGCACCTTCAAAATTCGCCATTACTCTTCCAGAGCTCAATCTGTGGGTAATCATGGCAGCAAAAGAGCGCTCTGCATTTCAGCTTCAACAATCAAGCTCCAAAATGAAGCAATTAAACCCCAAAACGAAACAGCAAACTTTCTGATCAGCCCCTGAAGGGCACACAGGCAAACCGCAGAGCACTCGGTCTTCCTCCACCAAAAGGAAGAAGGCCGTCTCTCCAGGATAAAGGGCACTGGGCGTGTTTTTGGCTCAGGTCAGGTCACGCTGCCTTCTGATCTAGGAGAGATTATTGCAGGTTTGGAAAAGGAGATTGCTACTGCATTTATTTATGGGATAAGTGGCTATTAGTGGCAGCCAAAGATTTCAGACTTTGCCAAGTCTTTCTATGCTAGTTTCTGGCTGCTGAATCCCAGCAGACACTTCCACGTGACTTATCTGCTTTATGCAACAGGCCAGCGCCCGGCTATCTGACACAGGAGACAGCTATCTTGTGCTTTCTCCCACACAGGCAGAAGCAATACAGCATTGTCCCAGGCCCCTCTGCTTGGCACTATCTCATGCAGTTGCTATCTGATGCCTGTACTTCTTGGCTAAATATGGATGGAGCACAATAGCACAGACAAATTCACAGAGTTTGGATGAACGGATCCGATGAGGCCATTTGTTCCAAAACATCCATGGCCGGATTTTCAGCCAGCCCGCACTCTCCTACCTGCCACTAATAAGTGAGCCCAAATACGTAGGCAATTTTATTCCGCAAGTAGAAATCTGTGACTGATCTGTATTTTGTAAAAACTGAGTATCAAAAAGAAAGAAAACAGAGATGGAGGCTGGAAAACGGAGCCCTAATTTACAGCGTAGGTGCAGAAGGCAGCACCCTTTATAAGAAATGACACTCAGGGCAGAAAAAAGCAGAAAACCCACCACCAGCCTGTCACTTGAGATATCAAGAGCCCACAAACCACTGTAGGAGATTGTGTCTAAGAGTGAGGGAGACTTACCCACACAGCTTCACTCTCACAAGTTCCCCCTACCCCTCACTTCATTGAGGAGCCAGGTCCTAGTTCATACATCGAGCCCCACAACGGCCAGTGTGATGTCACACGTTGTGATGTCACACGTTCCCAACACCCTGTGGCTGCACAGCCCCGCTCTGCCCATTGCCCTGGCTTCTCACAAGTATAGAGGGGTGATGTGGCCTTCTGGCACAGACAGTTGCCTTGTGTCAGACAATAAAACTCCCTGGCGTCGCTTCTGCAGCTAAAATCCGGGCTCGGAGGGCAAGCTCAGAGGCCAGGCATATTAAGAAATCAGGCCAAACGATTTGAAAACTTCAAGGATACTTGGTCTTTGAAAGTATCTGCACAGACTGCCACTGAGGGTGCTGGACCGGCTGTGTGGAGGGGCCAGGAGAACTGAACAGAGTGCACAGGGACGTGCACTGTGCTGGGGACAGGGGCAGAAGTGCAATCAGGGTCCAGGGACTGATTTAGATGCAATTGTATTGCTTTAAGAATTGGGTTCAACTCTGCCTGTCCCATTCTTCCAACAGCAGAGCGGCCCTTCCTTTTCTGCTCCTTTCCCCACTGAAACACTCCTTCTCAGGTCGAGTATCACTTGTTCAGCCAGAGGCACAGCGCTGTCACCTCGCATGTCTTTGGAAATCACGAGAAACGCCCCCACATACCCCCCAAGCCCATTAAAAAAAAAAATAATCAAGAGAGTCTTCAAAAGCATTCATAAAATATAGGTGAAAAAGAAAAATAAGCATGAGCAGCTTTGAATTTGCTTGACGGGGCACTTGGAAAACAGCATGCCACCCTGAAAGCTGGAATCTTATTTCCCACTCCCCATCCTCCCATGAAAGCAGAGATTATTTTGCAGTCTCTTGATCCCACCGAGAGAGAGCCCCTACGGATCACGGGAGTCAGCAACGCTGAATTAGCTCACCACAAAGGTCCCTGCCCACACAATCAGACAGACCAAGACACAGTCTCATCTCAGCTAAGGCAGCTCGTTTTTCCCAGGCAGCTGCCAAATGCTGAGCCCTTCTCCTCTGGGGAGACCATCGATACGGTGCAGACCATGTCAGAGGAGTCGAGGAGCCCTGATGAGAACCAGGCTGAGCATTTAGGCTTTGTTTCAGGCCAGGAGTAGCATGCCCTACGATTTATAGGGCAAAAGGAAACAGCCTCAGGCTCCTGTTACCAGCTAAGGTGATCTGAAAAGCCAACCACAGAGGGGAGAAGCACTAAACCCTCCGAGTCCAGTGACAGCATGGCAGCCCCACAGGACACGGGGCGAGACGATCATCTCAGAGGCAGCTGCAGCAGTTCAGTGCTCCCACGCTTCACAGGTCAAAGACTCTGCAGAGGCTTGGTGCAGATAAGTCTGCTGGGGCCTCCATCATAGTGGCCCAAGCATTTTCCCACCTCCCCAAACCCAAAATGAAAAGCTTGGGATGAGCAGTGACATGTGTGTGTGTGTTTCTATTTCTTTACCCCCTGCACTTAATTACTGCACTGTGTACTGCAAGGCACAGAGGACTGGGCTGTGTCATAAGCATGGGAACATCCTCAGTTTCCCAAGCTAAACAGCACAGCTGGAGCAAAGCACAGCTGTTAGTCCCTGTTCAGTGGCCTCCATCCCAAACAGCTGCATTAATGAGAAGATTTTGATTTGCCATTCACAGACTCCTGCCCAAGACCCCAAACACCTCGTGCTGAGGCTGCTAAACTCATTTCACTTGCGAGCAGAGCCAGCTCTCTCCAGAACCGCGACTGCATTATTGGAACAGCCGAGCTGAACACCAAGGGGAAATCTCACTAGCAACAATGCACGGCTTGGGAGTAGTACCAATTTTGAAGGGTTAATACTGATTCTAGTGATATAATCTTTGAGCACTGAACTGAGGAAAACAAATGAAATATTTATGAGTCTGCTAAAAGCTATCGATTCAGCCTGCCATTCCTACAGCCTCAGAAAACACCCTCCTAATCTATTTCTTTCTTTGATTACCAGACCTGAGCTGTGAGCTGATGCATTGATCTTTGGTATGATTACGGATTACTTCATTTTCCAGGAATAAAGAACACCCTGGAAACAGCGGAGTCCAGAAAGGGAGAATAGGATCAGTTTTTCCCTGAGCCTCAGGGATGAAAAAGTCTCTGTTCAGAATGGAAGGGACAAGTCTTTAAGGAACTAAAGTACCTAAATAAAATATTAAAAGTGGCACCAAAGTCACAGGGATTGTTTTCAAATCCCAGTCCCAAGCGTAGAGTGGCTCATGCCTCGGTAGGTAGTAACCATATTTACATCTCACAGCTGCTCTGTGCTGCTTGCAAGATCAGCTGGTGGGTTTCAGCCCAGATGTCCACGTCACTCATGTGTCACAGCAGGCACTGGCTTTTCTGCCGTAAAGGGGACTGGTTGAAGACCAACCCGGCCGTGGCACAGAATAGCCCTTCCCTCTCGCTGATGGTCCCTCGAGGCGCAGGGTTATGACGCGTCCTTGTCGACCACCGCCAGGCTGGACAAGCACGTTGCAGAACCAAAGTGGAGCATTATTTCTAGCAAGACATTTCCAACTTCTGGAGCCACAACAAACCAGTCTCTTCGAAGGGGAGTGAAGCCGGCTTACACGATCTCCCTTTCAAAGATAAGGACCTGAAAACTCTCGTGACTTGGGTTTGATTCCTACCACAGTTGGCAAGAGTAGAAATGAAGCAGCTTCTCATTCTCATTCTCTGGCTATGAGCACATCACAAACCGGCCCAGAATCTGGCACAAGCAGGACTTTTCCTAGCCCATCTGTGACGTGTAATAGCCCCGCTTACATACCAGATGGACAGATACAGTAGAGAAGAGCAGTTTCCCAGATTAGTTCCTTCCTAACTCCAGAAACCTCATGAACTTTTAAAACCCACAGGTGAGACGACCCCCTGCGCTTTGCTGAAGCTAGTCCACAGCCCTGCTTCAGCAAAGTATTTTGGCTTAAATGTAAGTGCCTGTGGAGCAGGGCTGGACTTGAGCACAGGTTCTTAGGGGCTTTGCTGAAAAAGAAACAGAGAGAACTGGGATATTTTTGAGGTTTTCCTTACCTATCTATTGAGCTGCAAGAGAAAGATGGAGATGCTCTGGGTGAAAAACACTTTGTACACAGAAGAAACCGGACAGTGTCCGAGCTCCCACCTCAGAGCTCAAAGGGTTACCTTGCAGGCTTAGCTCTAGCCTCAGTTTAGCATGAGACCAGTCAGTAGAATGGGTCGTTACAGTGGACCCAATTCTGTTGTTTCCATGCCTCAGCTCAAATAGCAGACGGACTGGCTGGAGCAGACTGGCTCTTGGATCTACACATATGCTACAGTCATTTCGTTCTTTGAATGGGAACTATACAAACCAACACTGCATTGTCTCCCCAGACTCCCACTGTGAAGGCAAAGGCAGACGATAACCCTTCTTCCATATGGACGAGAGCCTGGGAGCACTGGTTTTTTGTCAGCTATCCAAGGTGTCTGCTGGCTCGGACGTTCCCTTGGCTCACTTCAGCCTCCGCACAGGAGACGGTTCTTACAACACACCAAGATGGGGAGCTCTGGAAAACCTTCCACCTTCCACTCGGGGAGGAAAGTAATTGGAGACAAAGGTAAAAGTTCAGGAGTGAAGGCTCCTCAGGCTCCAGCTCACAAATGCTGTTGTCTCAACAGCCTCCAGAAGGGACAAAGAAAGAGTAAGGGGCAAGGCCTGGTTGAATTCTCTGTTCAAATCATGGCTTCAGTACCCTCACC